CGGTATACCCCGCACAATCCCCATGATCTATTGCTACTTACCTAATAATGTTCCCCGATCCAGGTAGAGGATCAAGACAAAACCCAAACAAGGTCCCAAAATATAAAGCAAACAAGTCAAACAATGAAAGCATTTAAAGGCGGTTTAGTCTCTAAGGTAACCCCACTTTTAAGTTTTAGTCCCCAACAGAGTCTCCAGTTCTGTAATACGGTGGGAGAACTGACTTGGGTGTTTTGCATTTGATCGCAATTATTGTGGATAACAAGAGTAGCCACCGACTTTTCTTTTATCCAATAAAGGAAAGGGTGAAAAGAACAGGAAAGACCTTTTGAGAATTTTCTTGAGTTCAGGGGTAGGTTATGAAAAGGGAAGGTGTTAGCACCCTTTTTATCAGTAGTTATCTACGGGCTCTTAGTTGCTAGCTCACTTAAAAATGCTTTGTTTGAAATGTGTTTTGTGATGGTTTGAAAGTATTTTTGAAAAGTGCTTTTTTTTAGGCGAACTTTGTAATGATTCTCGTCTCTATAAGAATGCATACAAAATGTTGACTTTTGAAAATATTTCATTTGAAAGTGTTAGTGTGTTTGAAAGATGTTTTGAAAATGGTTGTGAGCAAGCAACTACGAACGTTCTACCTACTTAAAGAGTCTTTATTCATTTCCTCCTCCTTTAGATATTGCTATCTCACCATTGATTGATAAGAAGCTATATCATTAGACGTGAAGGGACAGACGTGGGTCATCGTATAATCATAGAAAACAATATTATAGGATACCTTAGCAATTTTTGTAAGGGTCTAAGATAATTTATGAAGGCAATATTTGAAGGATCATCGAGGGACTATGATCTTGTATTTGATTGCTTTTGCTAAAATATCTCACGTTTGCGTAACATGACTATTTTTCTTAAGGCAACAAGTGAGGTTATAAAGTATTTTGATTTCATGCATTTTGTTCTTGAATTAGGGTTTGCTATTTGTTGATTTTATGTCTTGCCATACACACTCTAATTACTAGCATTTATATTTAAAGCGATAAATTGCAAAAAATGTAAAATTCTACGCTATTACATTATTTGAGAGATGGGGGTACATATTTATAAATGGGGGATGACAAATAATTAAAACCTAATTACTATTACAACCATATTGAATTTGAATAATAATGTACAAAATAGTGAAATAATATACAAGGAAAGAAGAAATTATTTTTGTTTATGTCTTTGAAAGATTTTAATTCTAATTAGGTTAAGTAAAAAATAAAATAAAATGACTAATTCGAATAAGAACTAAACTAAATTGATTTAAGAAAATAAAATAAATTGTTTAAGAGAAGGCAAATTTTTAAGGTTTTTGTATGAAAAAGATTTTATATTAATTAAACTAGTATAAAAGGTTAGTTAATTAAAAGGAACCTAAGTTCTAAATTAATTTTAGTTAAAAGAAAATAAAATAAACTTAAGTCAAATTATTATTTAAATTTAAGAAAGGAAATTAAATTTGTTAGGAAAATGTTTTTAGTCTTTTTATCTTTAAAAGAAATAAAATAAAAAATATTTTAAATATGTAAATAAACAAATAAAATATTTTTTGGATTTTTTATTAATAAAAATAATAATGATAACAATATTAATAATAAAAAAAAGGGAAAAGAAAAGAAAAAAAAATATAAAGTTTAAAGTCAGGAGGGTATGAAAATGATTTGTGTGGTTTAGAAGTAAAACAGATTTTATTTTGTACTAGGTCCAAATGGTGTTTTTGTCTTTAATCAGAAAAATGTTAAAAATAAGAAAAATAGGCTTGCGTGGTATGAAATATCCAGGGGGGGGTGATGGTGAATAAAATTAATCAGACCCAACCCAAAGGAGGCCCAGACGCGCTTGTGAGTGAGAAAAGGAAAGGAAATCACAAAAAAAAAAAAAGATAAAATGTCCCATGTCTGGCTCGTACCCATGACCAAGCATAATAAGGCCTTATACGTGTGCGCTTTCTACCATGGGGGTGGCTATACATCTGGTGTTTTATATCAAACCATAATATATATTACAAAACCAGTTATAATGATAAACTTCATCTTCTTCCTCGCGCCAGCTAAAACCTCTGCAACTCATTCATTTCTCAACCATTCTCAAAAGTATGAACATCAAACTTGTTAGAAATTTTACCACGATTCTAGAAATGTAAATAACTTAAACAATGGCTCAAAGATGAGCACGAATTTTGACTAGTACCAATTCTAACCTAATTTTTTCAGAAAGTTCAAACTCAAAATTTACACTACTTAAGCAATATAAATGAATTCTAATGGCATGGTTAATTTCAGGGCTATGATATCTACATTTTATCTTCACAAATGGAAAGCTAACAATGCCTATATGAAGAGTTCAAAAGTCAGAAAACTCACCTTGAAAATGGAAATCGTGTTTTGAGTTTGAGCTTGTTTCAAGGTGCTACAATGATCAGGTTAGCTTCCTTGGACCTCTAGGAAGTTAATGCAATGCTTAGCCTGAGTTGAGAGTGGTTGAGATGGTCTGGAGAAGTCCAACCACACAGATCTGTTTTTGAGTTTGGATAATTGTGATAATGGTGTTACAGTTTGGAATCAAGGGTTGGGACAAGTTGTATTTGAGGTAAGAAAGCTTTTGAGGTGATTTGGAGAAGAAACACACAAGTGGTTTGAGAGTTGGGAGTTTTTGGTCAGATCCTGCACAACAATGGAGTTTTTGTGCAATCTCCGTTTTCAGGAAGTTTCAGTGCTTGTCCATTCGTGTCTTTGCTTGCAAATGACTTGTGTATCTATAAGCAAAAGGTTAGAGATGTTTTGCACAAGGGATTTCTGAGTTACAGGGTTATGGCTAGGTTGCTTGATTTTGAAGAAAAGTGAGAAATCTAGTTTCAAGGTAGAAAGTACAAGTATGTAGAGTGATTAGGCACTTTAAACATGTTTGCTTCTGATCATTTATCTTGAGTATGGACATAGACAACAAGTTAGGAGCTCAAGGAGAATTGACCTTTGCAAAAGCAATGCTTTATCAAAATAGAAATGGTAACTTTGTTCCGTAAATGGAAAACCAACTTGGACAAAGCTTTAAACACTTGGATAAAGGCTTAATCAATTGTGTAAAACATTAATTATGGAGTGAAACACAAGTTTGAGGCCTGCAAAGCAAAAATTATGCAGTATAGCCATGAATTTATGTGTTCATCACGAAATTGCCTTGTAATTCAAGTTTGAAACCCTAACTTCATCTCTTCGATTCTCTTAGCTCAAGCATGAACTCAATGAGTTCTTGGATATTTTGGAAAGCTTGTAACATACCCTACAACTTTCATGTTTTTAATTTTTGAAGAATCCAATTGGAACTATGTGAAAAATTATCATGAAGTTGGTACCAAAAATCTGCCCAACTAGGTCAAATTTTCACTAAGTGTTTTTATACAAAGTGCATGACTTTGTGAATCTATAACTAAAGATCCAAGCATTTCTAGGACTTTATCAATAAATCAAAGTTGTAGATATCATTAATATCTACAACTTTCATGTTGGAAATTTTCTTTGAATCATCTTGCATCTTGGTAAAAAGTTGGCATGAAGTCATGAAAAGATAAGACTTAAAAACACTTATGAAAATTCTAAGTCTTGAAAAGTTTGACTTTTTAAGATGAATTTTGAATTTCTTGATTTCTTGATGATCGAGTTTCATATTTTTGAATGTCTTGATGAAATGTGATTTTGAAACTCAAATTTGATCAAAAAGTCAAAGTTTGACTTTTGGTGTATTAATTAACTTTTCATCAGTTGACTGAATTTCAACTATCAATCAATTGATCTTGAGAAATATTTTGAGCCATGAAATTAGGTCAACATGTTGTATTTGAATCCTTGATATTGTGCTTCAAGCCATTAGATCATGTATTAAGTTAAAAATTCTTGATCAGTCAAATACCATAATTTTGACAATTTTCCCCTTTTGGTGATTTGAACAATTTTCTCGGGGAATTGTGATCCAAACTTGATCAATTGACGCATATGACTTCAAAATATTGATATTGGTCCAAAATCTTGAAGTTTGACTGTAGGTTAACCACAATTGACTTTTTACCCAATACAATTGATTTTAGGTCATCTGATCAATTGACTGAGCAATTTTATGATTCAAGACTTGAAACTTGAGCTGAGCAATCTTGAGGGTCCATAATGATCCATGAAAGTTATTTGAAGTATTAGAAGCCCAATTGTTCTTGTGCAAACTCAAACCCTAATTTGAGGTATCAGTGTGAAGGAGATGACTTGACCTAGTCAATACTTGTGCAAGCTTAAACTTTTGAAGATCTTTGTGAGAAATATCTTGAGAAAAGAGAGGGTAAATTTTGGGGTATAACAGGTAGCCATGATGATTTTGGGACGGTTGATGAAGTAGTGAGAGTGACATGCGTTTGAAACCAACAAATTTAAGTTATGGATATCAATTACAAAATTGACAATGAATATGAGTTGTTGGAGAGGCAGGAAAAAGAACAACATCGAGGGAGGGTAAACGAGAATATGAAAGTCTGAAATAGAGACCAAAGAAGCTATCCACGTATTATGTTTTTGGAAAAAAAAAACAAAATAAACTTTTTGGATAGAATGAGTTTTCTTATATAGAATTACTCAAAGATTCTTATATAGATTCTTACGTATAGAATTACTCAAAGATTAAATATGTTAATTTTAATTTTTGCTTTTACCAATTTATGTTTTATTCATAGATTATTGCCTTTAATTTTTCTTTTAAGAAGACAAATAATCTTTTTGTACCATAAAAATGTTTTTATTTATAAAAATTCTATAAACAAAAGGTAAAAAAAGAACAGTATAAGTCCATTTTAAAATTCCATTAGGGATATGTTGTTGTGTTGTTGGGTTCCGTGTCACTGTGTGTTGAGAACTCGCGACATTAGCGCCTACACTCTTTACTCGCCTCCGTTCTCTTTCCCTTCAATCCAGAGAATAACCTGCATGGACGCCGCCGGTTTAGATAACAATGGCCGCGAATACTCCACCGCCGACGAGATGTGGAGGGAACAAACCGGCGACCTTAACAAGAAAACCCTCTGGTACCGTGAAGGCGTTTCCTACTGGGAGGTATGTACCCTTTCTGTCCCAAACCATTTTCGCCAAATTAAATTGCATTCGTCTTTTCTGGTTCGATATTTTCAATTCTTTGTAAGAGTAGGGTGTTAATGCAACTGTGGATGGAGTATTGGGAGGGTTTTCAGATGTGAATGAGCCTGATATTAGTTGCAGTGATGATTTCTTGAAGAATCTCTTGTCGGAGCGTTTTCCTTCTTCTGATGTTATAAATCAACCACTCGTTGCTCTCGGTACTTTTTCTTTGATGCTGCTTTCATTCTAATGCAGTGTGCAGATATACAAATTGCTTTTTAATATTTACTTTTTGTTATTATTATTGGAATATCTGATCTGTGAATTCTTGAATTTCAGATTGTGGTTCTGGCATTGGTAGGGTTACCAAGAATCTATTAATAAGATACTTCAATGAGGTTTGTTAGATTTATCTTGCTTACATATATTTTGGCCATGTTTGAGAAGACATCTTAATTTTCAGTTTATGTGATAAGTGCTTATGTATAACTATTTCTATAACGAAAGATAAAATAAAGTTAAATTGTTTTCGTCTAAGCTATAAGCTGTTTTTACAAACTATTTTAGAGAGCTCATTGGAAACATCTTCTGTACATGTCATAAACTGTTTTCAGAAGATCTACTAGAGAGTCACATAAGTGCATATGTTGGTAGATAAACTCAAATAAGTCAATTCTAGAAAGCTAAGCTATCTGATCTGTGAGGAACTAACAAAAGTTATGCTTCGGTTCATTGTCTAGTTGTTTATATTTGAAGGTGATTGGATGTTGGCTTTGTTTGAGAGACTACTCAGGAAGAGAGAGGACAACTAAATGTAGATGTCATTGGATCATGTCCGTGTTTCTTTCTATTTAGTTTGGTGTGGTTGTAAAACTGAAATGTAATGAACTTTAGAGTCAATTTGTTTTTAAGGTGGTGGATTGAAGCTTTTTCGACCATATAATAGCACTTTATTTGTGACACTAGTCTTGTTATGGTTTATGATTTCTTCTATGCATACCCTAATTTCAAGCTCAAACTAGTTGTGGGGAATTCACAAAAGCTTTTTTTTTTTTTCTCTTCAAAACTTTCTTTTTGATAATCTTCTGTTTCTACTGACCTCCGGTTGTACTGAATACATTCACGTCCTGCCCCATATATGTATTAAGTATTAACTATCTGTGCAATCTACTTAGCACCTTCCAGGATATCAAGCAATTATCTTATTCAAAAGGAAAAGGGTAAGGGAGATAAGCAGAGATTGTAATATTGGATAGCATCTAAAATTAGCAGCAGTGATTTTTAACGTCTTTTAGGTTAAGCCTAATAAAATACAAATAGTGTTACTGTTTTCGGGTTGAGCATTTTAGTGCCACAACCTTGTTCTATCAATGAATAAATAAAAACTGGCGTAATTTAGTTGTATCGGTTACCAATTATTTAAGATGGATTATAATATGTTTTGCCTCTTCATTTCTGATATTGGTGGCTTTGCCAAATGCAAGTTCCTGCACTTCTTTGTTTCTTGCTTCGCTCCTCTTTTTTCCAATAACTTTTTTTTTCTTTTATTTGTTTTTTTTTTAAATCTTCAATGTCCTTATATGTATGCGACCTCTCTTACATGTGTTGATAACTGTTTTCTTTAATCTCAGTTTGGAATTCTTTCATGTTTGATATTTTAAAGTTAATTAAGCATCTTTTATTATCTCTTATTTGTTTTAAAATTCAGGTTGATCTTCTTGAGCCTGTATCACATTTCTTAGAGGCTGCACGTGAAACATTGACCTCTGGAGCTTATGCAAATTCAGATATGCACAAAGCAGTTAATTTTTATTGTGTGCCTCTTCAGGTGTGTGTACTTTACCTTCACATAAATGCTAGTATTTTATTTTCATCCAGTTAGTGACTAGTGTAATCAGAATTCGAGATAATATTGCCATTACAAAAAAAAGAATTTGAGATAATATCACATGCGATCAGCGTCCTACTCCTATCACTACCTGCAGTTAGAAAAGCAGGTTTGTTCTTGTTGATATTTGTATGTAGAATAGTCCCACATCGATTATATAGTGTAATTAGTTGTAATCTCTCTATATATAATAAAGTCTCCGTAGTGCTTTCATAACACACGGTTTAACCTAAATGTCTCTTAGTCTCTCCTAATTCAATATGGTATCTAGAGCCTTCTAAGAGGCAATTCTTCGCCGTGTTTTACCCGGTTGACCCACTGTCTTTCGGTAAGAAATTTTCTTCTGCAAACCGTGTCATCATACCGGTTTGCCTCACCTTTTTTTTTCCAGCGACCTCTGCCAAACACAGTCCACGAAAAAAAAAAAAATTTTTTTTTTTGGAGGACTACTGTTCACCGCCGCCGCTACTGTTCACAAAAAAATTTTTTTTTTTTTTTTCTTCGGAAAATCGCCTTCCTCCTCCGGTTCCAGATCCGCCCTAGGCTTTCGTTTTCGACTCACAGAAAGTCGTACTCTCGAAAAGTCGTACACTATGCAGACTTCACCTTTTCTTCAGAACCCTACGCCAAGCTACGAGGATTTTCTCAGGTGGTGTCAGACTAACCAGACCTCTGGTTCCACGGCTTCGTTTGCACACACTGGTAATTCATCTGTTTGCGTCTCTCAATCATCTCCTCTTGGTCCTTGGGTCCTCGACTCTGGTGCGTCTGATCATGTTACCGGTAATAAAAATCTTTTCTCTTCCCTTTCTACCTCTGGTTTCTTACCGAGTATAACTGCCGCAAATGGTTCTCAAACCCGATCCCAAGGGATCGGTACTGTTCAAATTCTACCATCTCTCTTTGTTACTTCTGTCCTATATGTACCCAATTGCCCATTTAATCTACTGTCAGTCAGTCGTTTAACTCGTTCCCTTAATTGTTCTATCACTTTTACTAACAGTGATGTTATTCTGCAGGATCGAAGTTCGGGACAGACGATTGGCGTCGGATGTGAGTCTCAAGGCCTTTACTACTTCTCTACGTCATCTACCACATGCTCCACCACAAATTCTCCACTCATTATACATGCGCAGTTAGGTCATCCAAGTCTTCCCAAACTACAAAAGTTGGTGCCCAGTTTATCTAAATTATCCACTTTACAGTGTGAGTCTTGTCAATTAGGGAAACATACTCGTAGTCACTTTCCTGATCGAGTCAACAAACGGGCTGCGTCTCCTTTTGCTTTAGTTCACTCCGATGTTTGGGGTCCATCGCGTACTGTGTCTACTTTTGAGTCTAGGTATTTTGTAACATTTATTGATGATTTTTCACGTTGCACGTGGCTATTTTTAATGAAAAACAGATCTGAATTATTTTCTATTTTTGAACAATTTTATCGAGAAATAAGAACCCAATTTGGTTTGTCCATTCGTACCTTAAGAAGTGACAATGCTCGTGAATATTTATCCCAACAATTTCAAACTTTTATGTCATCCAATGGTATTCTACACCAAACATCTTGTCCTCATACACCTCAACAAAACGGGATAGCCGAACGCAAAAACCGGCATCTCGTAGAAACCACTCGGACTCTACTTCTCCATGGTAATGTCCCTCTCAGATTTTGGGGGGATGCTGTGCTCACAGCGTGTTATCTCATAAATCGCATGCCCTCATCTGTCCTTAATAATAAAATCCCTCATTCAATCTTGTTTCCAAACTCTCCTCTTCATCCAATTCCTCCTCGAGTCTTCGGGTCTACATGTTTTGTGCATAATCTCTCCCCTGGTCTTGATAAACTATCAGCTCGATCACTAAAGTGTGTCTTTCTTGGTTATCATCGATCCAAAAAGGGTTATCGTTGCTACTCACACACTCTGCAACGATACCTGATATCGGCCGATGTTACCTTCTTCGAGTCTGTGCCATATTTTGCGTCCACCCAAGTCACTCCGGAACCCCTTCAGGAAAGTACTCCCACACCTCTTCCGGACGTCCCATTTCCCATTATTCCCCATCATTCTAGGGAACCTGTCCCACGAGAAACCCCTACGGTTGACCCCCCCACTTCTCGTCCACTTCAAACATATCAGCGTCGTAAACCAACGTCTGTCATACCTGTCCCTGAGGTCGTACATGTCCCTGAGGTCGTACATGTCCCTGAGGTCATTGCAGACTCTCCTCCGACGCTATCGCCATCACCGGATTCGATCCTGCAACCTGAGTCTGATCTTCCGATTGCCCTTCGCAAAGGTATACGTCAAACACGAAATCCTTCTCCACATTATATTGATTTATGCTATCATCGTCTTTCCCCTTTGCAGTATACTTGTTTGTCCTCTTTGTCTTCTGTTTCTATTCCTAAATCTCCAGGTGAAGCATTATCTCACCCTGAGTGGAGGCAAGCAATGATTGATGAAATGTGTGCTCTTCAAAGCAGTGGTACCTGGGAACTGGTTCCTCTACCCACTGGAAAATCTTTAGTAGGTTGTCGTTGGCTTTATACAGTGAAGGTTGGTCCAGATGGTAAGATTGATCGTTTTAAAGCTCGCTTGGTAGCCAAGGGATACACTCAGATTTTTGGGTTGGATTATAGTGATACCTTCTCGCCTGTAGCCAAGATGGCATCTGTTAGACTTCTTCTAGCCATTGCAGCCATTCGACACTGGCCTCTTCATCAACTTGACATCAAAAATGCATTTTTACATGGTGATCTTGAAGAGGAAGTATATATGGAGCAACCACCTGGGTTTGTTGCTCAGGGGGAGTCATCGAATATGGTTTGTAGGCTACACAGGTCTCTTTACGGTCTTAAGCAATCTCCGAGAGCTTGGTTTGGCAGATTCAGCACTGTAGTACAACAATTTAGTATGGTCCGTAGTGAAGCTGATCATTCTGTCTTTTATCGTCACTCAGTACAAGGGTGTATTTATCTTATTGTGTATGTAGATGATATTGTCATAACTGGTAGTGATGAGTCGGGAATACTCCAGTTGAAACAACATCTTTCAAATCAATTTCAAACAAAGGATCTTGGTAAACTCCGGTATTTCTTGGGTATTGAGGTAGCCCAATCTAAAGATGGTTTGGTGATTTCTCAGCGGAAATATGCTATGGATATTTTGGAAGAAACAGGTTTGTTGAACGCTAAACCAGTTGATACTCCTATGGATCCAAGTGTCAAACTACTACCCAATCAGGGGAAGCCTCTATCAGACTCGGGAAGGTATAGGAGATTGGTTGGAAAGTTGAATTATCTCACAGTCACTCGTCCAGTCATTTCTTTTGCAGTCAGTGTGGTAAGTCAGTTCTTAAATTCCCCTTGTCAGGAACACATGGATGCTGTTATCCGGATTCTAAGATACATCAAATGTGCTCCAGGAAAAGGTTTAGTGTATGAAGATAAAGGACATACTCAGATAGTTGGATACTCTGATGCTGATTGGGCAGGGTCACCAATTGATAGACGATCCACCTCTGGGTACTGTGTACTTGTTGGAGGAAATCTTATATCCTGGAAAAGTAAGAAACAAAATGTAGTTGCAAGATCAAGCGCCGAGGCAGAGTATAGGGCCATGGCAATGGCAACATGTGAACTCATTTGGTTAAAACAGTTGCTCAAAGAACTTAAAATTGAAGAAGCAAGACCAATGACACTTGTATGTGATAATCAAGCTGCATTGCACATTGCTTCAAATCCAGTCTTCCATGAGAGGACCAAACATATTGAGATAGACTGTCACTTTGTCAGAGAGAAGATCGAATCCGGCGTCATCGTCACAAGCTTTGTCAACTCTAATGATCAATTGGCAGATGTGTTTACAAAATCTCTGCGAAGCCCCAGAACTAATTATATATGTGGCAAGCTTGGTGCATTTGACTTATATGCTCCAGCTTGAGGGGGAGTGTTGATATTTGTATGTAGAATAGTCCCACATCGATTATATAGTGTAATTAGTTGTAATCTCTCTATATATAATAAAGTCTCCGTAGTGCTTTCATAACACACGGTTTAACCTAAATGTCTCTTAGTCTCTCCTAATTCAATAGTTCTCAAGGCTGAGATAAGGAAACTGAATAGAGGACATTATATCATTCATAGGCACTGTTCGCCTTGACATAAGCAGCTCGCAAGTCACCCAATTATTTTGACAGGATTAATTTAATCAAAACTACAGCTGCCAAGTCTCAATTCTTTTGTTGTCTGATAGAACATGATAGAACCCGCGAATTCAAGAGAGTGAAACTGTATATTATTCAATGAAAAAGATGAGTTCAGGAGCTCTACAAGTTTGAAACAAAAACTATCCAGAGCCTATTGCTCCTACCTGAGAGAAACTCTCCTAACAAACAATAATAAACATGAATGATTCCCTCACCCCACTCACTGCCCTCATACTCTCACTAACTAACAGAATTGAATGACTCTAATGCCACGTCAGTAACTTACTTCCCTATTCTGCTTAGGCCCAAAACCAGGTCCTATCACTCCTGCCACTGGTAAGGCAGGCTTGTCCTCAAGGCTGAGACAAGGAAACTGACTTGAGAACATTTTATCATTCCCTGCCACTGGTAAGGCAGGCCTCTCCTCAAGGCTGAGAAAAGGAAACTGACTAGAGGACATTTTATCATTCGTAGGTACTGGCGTAGCCTTGACATAAGCAGCTTGCAAGTCACCCCATAAAGTATTATTGAATAACTATGAGAAGTTCTTTATTACAGTAAGCAAATCTATACAGATCACATGATTCACATTATTGGGGACCAATTCATCTAAGGAGACTTAATCTAAGGGAACTAGCCACCCATTCTTAAGGGATTCATGACCAATACACTAGAAAGAGAATAATTATACCTTACAATTAGGAATGAATCTCTAATGATGCATTGGTTTCTTT